CTCTGAGTCCCGGGACTTCAAAGGTTCTGAAAAATCAGCAGGCAAATTCATACATGTGTACCTATGCACACCTGGATGGCCCAGTCTGCTACAGCTCAAGCAGCTGACACATTTGATCACCGCTTCGACTGGCAGGTTCAATCTTGCTTACAACTGGGCATCATTTTGCATAAGTTGTATCAGTCAGGGTGCATTATAAAACCCTGTTCTTGTCACATAGTCATTCTTTGTGTTGTTATTAATAGTGCTCTGGCCCATGCTGCTGTTAACAATATAATAAAATTGGTGAGAGATTTTGAAGACGTTAAATATTCTATGTCACTCATGTATGCCAGAAAGTAATCAATAGTGTTGCATGAAAAGACAACTTGGACTCAATTTAGCTGTGTTCTACACACCACTTTTTTCAAGTCTGACTTCTCTGTTGTCTTCTACAGCGCTGCACACTCTTTCGCATTGTATTTGTCTTAAGTCAGCTACTGAAATGTGATCAAGTAGCTTTGTCATTTGTTTTTATATGGTGGTTGTGAATGGTGACAAGGAACTTAATTTCCCTACTGTAACTGATCTGGTTGCCAAGCCCATATCCCAGACGTGAGGGATAAGCCATTAATGCAGAAAATTAAGGAACTGATGATGGAAGGTATGACAGTACTTCTTGAATTAAAGTGTAGTGTAATGTTGCTGTTGACAAAGACATTGTAATCTCTTCTGCAAACAGCTTTTTTCAGGGATTTATAACTGAAGAAATTTGTCTAGGCCTGAAACTTGGCATGATCTCATTTAACTTAAGTACTAAATTGTTGTCGAATGCACTTTAAAGACTTGTATGTGCAGTGGATGTTGATTTCTCTGATAGCTACAGCTTTTTGCCCTTCAAACAGGTGACATTATATTTGCTTTGGGGGTTTGCCTAGATACAGAAAGATTTCAAGGACTAAGCAAAAGCACTCTTTATAGAATATATTGAGAAGAAAATAAAAATTAAAGAACCTTTAAAATTGAGATTAATGAACAACCCTGGATTTCTGGTTTTATGATTATCTAAAGAGGCCACAATATCTGTAGTTCAGTTCCTGGGTAAAATTTGCCTTTTCAGTAGTGAACACTAAATGGCCCAAGAAGGTATTCGCTGTGGGCAACACATTAACACTTGCTGCTTTTCTTGCTGTGAACGAGCCTGCTAATTGTCTCAGCTATTTGTGAACTGGATTTAACAACTACAGCACCAGTCATAAAGAATTTACTATAATATATTCATATTGGTCTTTCCTTGGTTTCGTGGTTCATATAAGCTGACTTTCCTGTTGTGGAGGTATTGGAGAGTGGCAGTGGTAACAGATGCAACACCTTTCACATAGTCCTTATTATGTAGTTTTCAAAGGCTTCATTAATAAAGCATTCAAGCAGGAAAGGTATCACAAAAAAAAGTTTGTGTTTTTTTTTTGTTTTGTTTTCTTTTGTAACAAGATGTACCTATCAGGGTGTAGATGCATAGATGCATTATTTTTAAGATAAAGAACTGGTAGATAGTTTTGAAATGGGCTCATTAAGGCAGTAACAGTCTGATAAAGCTGACTCTCCTGATTTCTTGTGTGCAGTTAATTTAAAGGGTATTTAGCATTGATTTGGTAACTTTCTATAAACATTCTCCCCACAGATATGTGGGAGTGTAGAAATGCATATCAACTCTATTGGTCATCAGCATGGCTCTGTCCAGTATTCCAGAGTTTATGATCCCCTTTGCTGTCCCTATAGAATGGCTTTAAAGCTCACTTAGTGCTCATACAGACTTCTGGCATTTAGCAGTTACTTTTTTATCTTAATAATAAAACTGGTATTTAACAACAATTAAATGCTGAAGCAGCTTGCTGGCAGATGGGATGGATTTTCTGTCTCCTGAAACTTTAAACAGTGTCTTTCAAAAATATGTTCCATTTTATGATCTGTACCATAGAGAAGACCAAACTGGACTATTATAGTGGGGTTTGTTTGTTTGTTTTTTTCTCCTTGACTTCATATAGTTTATCCATACTTTAGTCCTCTGTTTTTTATTATTCTCTATGTAGTGTTTTCCTTATCCTTCTAGTTCCTGCCTAAAAATAAATTTAATACTGGATCTGTAAGTCACACCTACTTCTTTAATTAGCCTATTACTAAATCAAACTGATAGTATAGATTACATGGCACAAATGACTTGTGCATTGCAAACAAGAAGACCCTTTTATAAAATCGCTATTGGCATGGCTGAACATAATACAGGCCCTGATCTCATGTACTTTGTAGGAAGTGGTAAGTTGTGCTATGTCCTTACACTCAAATAATGAATTTGGCAATATAAGCAGAAAAGTGAACACATTCACTGGAACTACTCTTGCATTCTTTAACGTGTTGATGAGAAGATCCCGTACTCCAAAGACTGGTGTCAAGTATAAGACTGAATTGAATACTAATTTTTTATTTTTAGTTTGCATAACTGGGAGAGGGGAGGCTCAATTCTGTTGGTTTTGGCTTTCTGTTTTATTTTTTACTTTTGTTTTGTTTTCCTCCTAGAGTGAGATAACTGATTTGGGTGCTTTATATGAAACTTGGATTGGTGAGATACTAAGCTGTGGAATGTGATTACTACTCAACTGTGTTAACAACCATTTAAAAAAGTCACAGGATTATTTTTTTTAAATGTATAGATTGAAATAACCTTTATCAATACACTGTATAGAACAATAGCATACAATTTTAAAATGTCATAAATATAGAGAAAAGCTTACTGCCACAGAGAAGCAATAGTCAACATTTATAAGCTCAGCAAAATTGATATTTACCATGCAATCGCATGTGATAAACTGCCTTAATTCCTGTTTTATGGGTAATATTGTTAAATGACTATAGTAACTCTAGAGTCAAAATTATGCATTTTTTGTAATACGGTAATGGTTGGTTTAGCTTTTAAAGGACAAAACACTTGCCTTTAATTTCTGATGAGCAGTATGAAATGGAGTTGGAAAAATGGCGTTGTTGGGCACATGTTGTGACAAAAAACTGGGGGGGAAGAGGTGGACCTGCTGAATACAATCATAGAATCAAAAAATCATAGAATACCGTGTTGGAAGGGACCTCAAGGATCATCTGACCCAACCTTTCTTGGAAAAAGTACCTTCTAGTCAAGGTGACCCAACTCCCTGTACAGCTGAATCTTAAATGCCCAACACTAGGAAGTCCACCACTTCACTGGGTAGTTTATTCCAATGGCTCATCTCGTGGTGAAGAATTTTCCTCTTTTGTCCAGTCGGAATCTCCCCAGGAGTAACTTGTACCCATTACCCTTCATCTTCTCCTTGTGACTCGTATAATAAGGGAGTCTTTATCTTCTTTGTGGCTATCCCTTAAATACTGGAATGTGAAATTGCAGCACTACAAGTTCAGAGAGACCTTCACAAGCCTGAGGGTTGGGCTAACAAAGTCCATAAACTTCAGCCAGAATGGCTTTGGATGCATAAATAATTTGTTGACTCAACTGCAGTTAAAAGACTAACCTTTTTTTTTATCATTATTTAAATAATGGAGATTTTCACACTGATTTTAAACTCTGTTGCTTCCACTGCATATGGAAAAATTTGGACTTCAGGCAGAGAACTGATTTGTATAGTGTATACAATAGCTGCACTTAAAACGTATACTTCATTTATGGGCTCTCTTGACTGTTTCTAGACTACCTGGCAAGATATGTAGGCAAGGGATATTAAACAGCTTTTCAAGGACCAAGTTCGTATTGTACAGAGCTGGACAGTTTTTCAGTGGATAATGTGCTGTTTCATTATATCAGTGATTTCTAACAGTTTGGTCTCTTCAGAGAGCTTCAAAAGCTAAGTTCTTTGCCATTAGAGGAGGTTCATCTATTATGTGGCCTCAGTACTGTTTTCTGGAGGTAAGTCTTAGAGAAAGAAAAATCCTTAAAATGTAAAAACGGAGGGATAATGTAGTGTTGTATGTGTCAGTCCAATATCCATCACTGTGAGAGGTTTAATAACTTTATCTTCATTTATTCTAATTGATGAGTGAATCTCATGTTTGAAAAGCCCTAAATTACAGATGCTTTATGTGTTGGAATAGCTATGGTCAAAGTATGGAGGAAAATGGCACCCTATTGTTGCAGTCTGTTAGAAATGATTTGTTGAAAATTGACTTTGAATGTTTGTACTGGAGGTCAGAGTTCCCTTTAGGGAGCTCATGCTTCCATAGAAATATCTAGCACTACCACAGATATGCCTTGCTATTAAGGGGATGATTTTGATATAAATACTTACCTGGCAATGCTTTTGATTCATTAAAATGGGAAAAATAAGTGGAGCAAAACAGCTGGGACAATTTCTAAGTAAATTCATCAGTCATTCAGGAAATATGCATTTAAAATACCTATAAATAATAGAATGCTCCATCTAAATGGAAGCCTTTTATTGATGTGTAAGTACAGTGTCACCCTGAAATTTCTTTTTAACTTACTATTTCCTTGTGTTTAGAATCAGATCAGGCAAGTTCTATTAATCCTACTTTTTAAACTTTAACAGCATTATTTTGTATGGTGTGTGAAATGAGGTTGATACACACAGTTGTTAAGCTTTAAAATTACTTTAAGGCCATACATAATTGTTTTGGAAACTGTGCCTTCACTTGATTTCTTTTTCCTTTTTCTTTATTATTATTATCTTGGGAACTGACAATATAATAGGCTAACTTTTGTGCTTTGCCTTTGGCACTTGTAAATTCTCTTTATTCATATCCTTACAATATATTATATTCCCTTAAGTATCATATTTTCTCTCTGACAATATTCATGGGACTTCTGATCCTACAAAAGAAGGCAGGACAATGGAAATGGGGAAAGTGAAATACTAAGAACCCTGTTTATGCTTTTTATTGTGCATGTTTAGTTCTCCCAGGTTTACAAAGAATAGATTATTCATACAGAAGAAAACAAATGTTTTCAAATTTTGTTTTAATAGATAAAAAGATGGCCTATCACAAAGTAAATGCAGACCAGAGAGCACAGGGGCACTCTCCATACCTTGACAACGATGAGCTCCAAGCTACAGCGCTGGAACTGGAATGGGACATGGAAAAAGAGCTGGAGGAGCCTGGTTTTGACCATTTCCGACTGGATGGTGCAGTCCAGCATCACCTGGGAAACTCACAGAGCCCTGACCTTGATCTTGAGCCCATCCAGCCTTCATCTTCTCCAAAAGGAAGATTCCAGCGGCTTCAGGAAGACCCCGACTATATCTCGCACTATACCAGACAGGCACCAAAGAGTAACCGCTGCAGTTTTTTTCAGATACTGAAAGTATTTTGCACTGCTTTGATTTTATTTATTTTTGGAATTGTGATAGGATATTATGCACACAAGAAATGTCCTTCTCCATCACCATCTCAAGAACCAAATAATGCTCATATCTACCATGAAATTCTCAAGGAAATCAAAGCTGAACATATTCATCAGATTTACAGGTATGTACTTTGACATGTTTTTGTCTAAATGCAGTCAGGTGCCAATGTTAAGACTTATTGTGATTTGCTTTATATGAAATCTTATTTACAAACTTTGACTCTTTCTTCATGTTCAGTTTTCTTGTGATGCTTGAGAAGCTCATATATATATCTGTGAAACTTGTGTAATCTTTAGCAATATGAACTTGTGCTATTTTTGTTTTTGCTTTAATAATGTTCTTTTGCTAAGTTTATTAATAGTAGGTTTAATGTGCAAGAATTGAAAAACATAGGTAATATGAATAGATATATAGGCAATAGACCAGCTGTCCTAGATTCTGTCAATTGCCAGATAACCTTGTTGAAAAGCAAGATTTTAGGTGGTGTTTTGTAATATTTGTTGCTTTAAGAAAGCCCCATTTAATCTCTGGTGAATAAGTGAATCCTGTATTTTGTTTTTCAATCCATACGGTAAAGTAAACCTTTAGTCTGCATGGGTTTAGGATGGAAAATTTGACCTCTGAACTCTGAAGGACTGGGTTTTTTTGTTTTTTTTTTCTTTGTGTTAGTGGTTTTTTTTTGTTTTGGTTTTTGTTGGTTTTTTTTTTTTTTTACCTGTTTCACGAGTGTAAAATATTTACTGACTGGGTTGGATTTTTTTTTTTCCTCCATGTGGAACCTTTTCACTGCTTTAAAAGTTTATATAACGTGTTCATATGAGAGTATAATCACTTTTCTGTAGCAGTGAATGTGGAGAAACTAGGTTTTCCTGCCAACTTTGAAAGTTATTTCTGTGTGAGAGGAGAGATGAGCTTATTTCTGGCTTCCGGAGCTGCAAGTTCCTTTTTCACGATAAAGGAAAATGCATCATAGATTTTTATTTTTTATTTTTTTTTTGATCAGTACTGGTTCAGGAGGAGCAGAAATTACATACCTGAGGTTAGAAATATTGTCACGGACGTCCAAAGAGTCATTCTTGAGTGGATCAGAAGTGCATTGAAAGTAACCTTAGAAGCCTTCTAAGATAGCATGTCTTTTATTATATTTGCTAAACCAAACCTAAAAACCTAAAGCAGTTAGCACCATATTTTGAGCCAATGCTGTTACTAAATTCAAGGAGAAAAAAAAAACAGGTATGAAGGATTTTATGGCACTTTTCATATGCTGAACTGACTCTATACCAATCTAATTATTTTCATAATGAGAAAGGGTATAGGTGATGAAAAGTGTTGATTCTGAATAGTAAGAAATTAACCGTTTTGTCTTCTCAGAGAGTAAATTGAAATGAATTCTGTCATTAGGCTTAGTCATGAACAAAGCATTGGCACAAGCTAAGCCCTACTGACTGGGTATTACACAAATTACAGCAAATTGCAGAGAAGCCTGTCAACCTCAGGGTAATGCTCCAATACTTTGTGTTTGGGGACTGAGAATTTCTTGCCATCTTATTATTTCAAAGTCTGCTTTGAAAACATCCCTTTTCAAACTCTTCATTGCTTTTCAAACTATTTCAGCTAGCTGTTGGGATATTAGTGAGAATCTGGACTTTAGGTAAAATGAATTATATAAATATTTTGGAACCTAAAAAACTTACATAGCTGCTGTACTTTAATTAGCATAATTCTTGGCATTTGGTAATTTTTCTCCTCTGTAATAGAATGATTTCAACAAATTTAGTCCGGCATTAATACAGTTACCTATCAGTTCTGTATATAAATATACAATTGATGCTTTTAGTGTACTGCATTACTCACAAGGTTTTTCTTGACCCTATATTTTGATCTGAGACAGATTTTATTCCGTGTTAAATTGCTTTCTCTTAACATCTGTTTGGCAAGTCAGAGTTACTGCAATAAAACTTGCATATATGTAGTCCCACAAATATAGAACATGCAACATATGTTGTTTGGGGGGGGGGGAGGAGAAGGCCAAACCTGACAAAAACATTATATTTTATTGTAAAACTTCTTTCAATATAATATGCTTTGAGTTATTGAGAATAAGTGGCAGATTCTTAGCTTGCAGTTTCTAAATGTTACTGAGAATGACATTAATTTGATTTTCTTAGCTTAATACTTAGATCAGACTCAATAATGGCAAGGGATTTTGCTAACAGTCCTGGTAAAGGACTTAGGAGAGAAAAGAATATGCAAAAGACATACAGTCATATCGCCCAAGCTGACATCACCTTAATGTGCTTGGAGGTATGGAGTAGGAACTTCCTATTGGGATGAAATCTTGTGTGGTCAGATGAAGCTTTGAGGACTGGAACCCTCTGGGCAAGAGGTTGCAAAAGTGCATCAGGGGACTTGTGATGATTTTGTTGTGTTTTGGACTGTATTCTGTTTGAGCCAAATGAAGCTTCTCTACCAATTTGAATTGGAAATGTAGGATCATATAGGATAATAGCAGTTTGTCTGCATGGGTTGCTGCAGTGGGATATGCAGGTGTCCCTGTCCAGCTTCCGTGTTGAAGTCTCTTGGTAAGAGCTCATGCATTGCTCTTCTGTCAGTCCATACTGGCTGGCTGCATCACCTAGGTGCATGTTAAGCATTTTTCTCAGCAGACATATTAGAAACTGCTAGGTAAGAGAAGTCACTGTGTTGACTTTTATTCCTTCAGCTTTACACCTTGCTTTCTGTGAAATGCCACTGCTGCAGAAATTGAGTGCAATTTAGCATGGTTGTAATTACTGGCCTTGGCCAAGTTGCCTAATTGATGATGCCCAGATTTTGCTTATATCTTGCTAAGATTTTATATTTTAGAATGGTAAACATTTAATTTTTGTTTAAACTGAACTTTGGTGAATATTTGCAATTAAAGCTTGCATTAAATATTATTAACAAAGTCTAAAGGGCCAAGGCAATGAAAGCACTAAAAGTAGTAGAAATGCAGTCCCATCAAAGACCTCTAAGATCATAGTAACTACTGCTGTCTGATTTGGCATCATTTTCTTAAAGAAAATATATTGTGTTTCATGTTTAACAGTGCTGAGCATTTCAATAGGGAAAATATGAAAAGTGGTATTTGTATTTTATACAGAATTATTTCAACTTTATTACTCTAACACCAGATAAAAATGAAACAATCCTAATTTGTTTGGAAAATGTGGGGCTATTGTAATTTTTTAGAAAGTTTTAATTTTGGTGTTGACTTCTATAAATTGAACCAATAAACAAAGATTCGTGTTGAATAGTAAGAGTAAAGACAAATGATCAGTTGTGTTGATGTTGATGGTAACTCTAGCTATACCTTATTTGTCAGATTAGTTAATTCTCACAAGCATAATTTTTATAATTCTCATAGCGTTATTCTGCTTTACTCTGTAATTCCTTTCAACAATCATATAGCTTGGCTACTATCAGATTCACAGTCCTCTTGGATAATTTTTTTCTAGGATTAAGACTTGGGGGTGGGGGCGGCACAGAGGGAGTCTTTGCTTTGCTCTTCATCGTGCTTATAGGACAGCTCCTACATTTCAGTGCTGCTTTTCATCTTGTGTATTCTCACTCAAATGCTTTCTTTACTATCGTTCCCCCCACCCCCTCGAGCAATAGGGAGGTTTAAATCTCTTTGTAATACATCTAGTTGTAGCTAACTGTCCTTTGGAGGTATATCTGTTCTTCCTTCCAGCTGGTAATATCACCTGCAGAATCTCCTGAATCCATCTCTGGCAAGAATTGATTTGTCACTGGTGCCTGGTGCCATCCATAACTTAATTCTTCAAAGGGCTTTGAGAGGCAGCAGCAGCTCTCCTACAGGGTCAAGGCCAAAGAAACAGAAGTGCCTATGCAGTGAGAAAAGGAGGTTACTTGTTTTTTCTGAAAGTGAAGGAAGAAACTTCCACACTCAAGTGTTTCTTATCCCTGATCAGTCATAAATGATACTGTTGAAACTGTGGAGCTTCTAACCTTTTTATCGGGTAAAGCTTGTGAAACATAGACCTGATGAGTAAAGAGTGCCTAGAAGTTCTTGGAAGATTTCAGTTCTGGAGATTTGGACTGAATTAAATTTACAGGCCGCTGCTCGGCAAAATTACTGTTTCTGTCCTAGTAATGAAAAATCATGACAGGAGCAGAGTCTCTGCTTCCAAAGGAAGAGTATGAGGAAAGAAAGGAGAGCTCTGGTCGCTGCTTCCCTTAGGAAAGACCTGTTTTATCCCTACTCCTGTTAACAGCTACTGTTAATTAGTAGCTGCCTACTGACATCTACATGGCATGGTAGCAGTCTGTTGCCCTGGACCACTGCTCACTTTATCTGTAACTTGAGCAGTTGTCTTGGTGTTCACTGTATGCAAGCAAATTCTGTTTTTTCTCTTTTTTGTCATGACAGCAGTTGAAGAATGCATTGCAAAAAACAAATCTTAGTGGTAACTCATCCTGTTTGTTCCTGTATATCAGTCTTACATATTTATTGCATTGCCATAAACATTACAAGTATTAAATATAATTTGAATGAGTCTTTATTTCTGTCTACTACATCTTCAGAAATGCATGTTGGCACATGCCTGGGTAACTGGGAGCCAAGGAAGCATTCTGTTTCATTTCCACACTGTGTAATCCCTTGGGATTCTCTTTATTCGCATGATAGTTTGGATGTGTATTTATAAGTACAAAGACCCTTTTGAAAGGAGATAAGAGTAATGTCAAACAAGTGAAAGTTCCCACTTATGTTCCTGCTGCCTGCTAAGGGAAGAATGGCTCTGAGAACATGGGGATGTGTCTTTTGTGGAAAGAAGATGCCCCACATGACCTGAGTGGTATTTCTGGAACAGTGGCTTGATAAATTTAGGCTACAGATAGCCACTTCTATCAAATACATTTATTTTTTCTAAGCAAAAAATAGGTTATATCTGTACTTCAGAGATCTTAATAGAAAGTTGAAAGTCTTGTCTCTTTTATAGTTTCATTCAATTTTTGTTTTCTTTTTTCTTTTCTTTTATTATTTCCCCTACCTCCTCTCCTTCCTCCCACCCCCCATCATAGACATAGTTCTTTCATTTGTTTCTGTGGAGGAAAGAA